GACAAAGAATGCCAATTTGAGTTTTTTTCTTTAAATTAAAAACAGTACCTGCGGGCACCCACGGGTGTACCTGGCCTACCCGTTTACAAAATGGGTAGAGCCAAGTACGGATCTAAAAAAATAGGTCTAATTATACAGACCTATACCGTATATAATTTACTCGAGTATAGGTCAACCCGTGGATTCCAACCCGTTTTGCCAAATCTACACACAACCTAACCCAAAATACCCCGATTCAAAAAAAAAATAAAAAAAAATGGGCACAATAGAAATGTACAAGATATATATAATTTGCAGTGATTTAAACCGCTATCACACTAGTATGAATACTTTTGTTTTCATTTGGTTCATTATTTGATGATTTTTAAAATAATATTTTGAAAAAAGGTAAAATTAATGGATTATCCTTCCCAAAAATGTAATTATTAATATTTTGTGAGATGAATAAAGTAAAATAAAATTTTAAGAATATTAAAACAAATGTATTTTTAGGTTTTTAGGATATAATAGTAAAATAAGATAGAGATATAATATTGAAACAAATGAAGCCTTAACATGTAATTATTATAAAGATAAACATTGAAGATGAAAAACTAAATAAAACAGAAAGAAGAAAAACAAACCTAGTAAGAATTTTGTATAGAAATAATATATAAACACGTGTTAAACCCAAAAATAATCCTGTATTTAATTACGTTTGTGTTTGTATTGTAGTAAGAATGTGCACTTTTACTACCACGTGCCATTCACCATCACCTCCATGTTTATTCTACGCGCTTCCACTACACTTACACAACGGAGCAACGACTAGTCAACTCTATATTTACTCTTGGCGGGCCCCCAACAACCTTTCAATCTTTATTACACACATTCTCTAAAATTAATGACAAAACACCCAGGTACGTGCTGAAGATAAGTTTTTGGAAAATTTCATTTACAAAATTATGGAATTTAATTACTATCATTCTAAAATTTATTTAATTTAATTATATAAAATCATTTCTCAACAAAAGAGGTTGACAATTGATTTTCGATAATGGAATCTAAATTAGTAATTGTTATGCTTAAAAAATCAGGACCGATGTAAACTCACGACAACAAGGGCCAATTAAAGTTCAGAAAGATCTTATACCGTCCAGATGCTGCCATGTCGCACAAAGACGGAAGAAGTAAGGTTGTCGTCAATGTGGCAGGTGAAAGCTTGACTTGTGAGTGGCTAGGAATTATCCACATGCCTAATCCCTACGCAATTTAAGGATATCTCCTGTACGCTTAGCCAATGGGAAGCAAAGTAGGAATTGTACCACACCTACCTGATTACAAAATCATGATTATTATCTTGAATCCCTCGACTATAAATAGAGGGCTTCTCTCTCATTTACGGGATCCGTTCATTTTTAGTTTTCTAAGAGCAGACTCTCTCTCTTTGTATTTAAATTATCTCTAGATTGTAACTCAGCTTGTTGCCCACGACCAGACTATAATCATCCATCAATACAAGTATAGTGGACGTAGGATTCGCTTTTGAGCACCCGAACCACTTTAAAAATTGTCTCTTGTTTATTCTTTCGTTGCATATTTCCATATCACGTGTAATTTTTAAGTCTGCTTAGCACTTTACACGTGCGAGTAGTTGATGTCAAAATCAAGCATTAACTGTTTGACGCTAGAAGGAGGGTCTGATTTAGTATCCACTCTTCATCAAGAATCTCTGACCGATCGGTCCTACCCATCAGCAAATGGCTCGTGGTTTTGAAACTAAGCGAACTAGTCTCGATAATGAGGAGATCCCTTGGGTACAGGATGACACTTCTCCCGAAGTGCCTCCAGTCCAGCAGAGTACCATAGGGGATATTCCTTCGAGCTCATAACTTGACCCAACCGTGATGGATTACCTAGAGTGGTTCAACAATACTCTCCAAATGGTTAGCTGAAGGTTAGACCGTTTGGATCGGGTCGCACCACCAGAGTCCGACGAGGTGGTGCCACCGTCAAAGATCGTTCCTTGGTATGCCGCACGCCCTTGCCGTACACCAAAGGAAGTTTTTTGCTGCACACCAACTGTACACACCACAATTCAAATGTGGTTAAAGTCTGTCAGAGCCGTCAACCTGGTCATCTTATTTTCTGCAAAGAGACAAAAAGTTTGTTAGTTTCACCTATCAAAGAGGAGCTAAAGAAAAAGGAACAGTTAGCAAATCAAAGGAAAGGAAAACCTACTCGGCTCCCTAAAAGGACAAACACCATCGTCTGCAAAAAAGAAAAAAATGGTCTCATAAGCCCCGACATTACTAGGGTAACCAAATATTTCTCCCTTGATCGAAGATCGCTTCGAGAGGTAAAAAGAGTCTTTATCTTTACTCTTCTTCAAATACTAAATGCATGCGACCTCTAGCACTATCAGCTCGTCAAGACTATTTTCGCCACATGCAATATACATAGCAACCGCTATCATATACGCATTAGGCGTCAATTGTAATGGCGCGGCCTCGAAGTGGTCGAGGATCAATCTAATGAAGGGGTGAAAAGGTATCAACGCCCCATACTTAAAGATCGCCTTGGAGATCACGGCCATTCCCTATAGGGGATTTCGAGTTGTGTACGTCATGTGCTGGTAGACATCTACGCTAAGCGCGAACTGGTCCACCGGTTTCTGTATCTCGTCCCTGGTGGTCATTGATAATGTCTCTTGCATGGGATCTGCTGAGGTGCCCGGCGCCTATGAGCTCTTCCCCTCAGCTGCTCTGGTCCCTGAAGTGTCAATTTCTCCTAAAGTCTGAAAAATGGGCGACATGCAGAGATGACTCAGTCTCCATACAGTGTCCGATACGATGACATAGAAGGGCAAAAGAAACCCTAATTTACCTTCCTTAACCCCTAGGAAAACCCTAAAAACCCTTGAGAATGAATTCTCAAGAATCTGTGCCCCAAGTTTTGCCTTTAAAAAAAAAAAAAAAAAGGTTTTCTCTTTTTACCACTGTCCAGAAATATGCATCGTGTAGGTTTACCAGGTAGTTCATACCTACCATTACTGTAAAGTCAAGCTTTTAACAGAAATAAAAGAGGAAAATGAAGGAGAGTCCTCCGTACCTCTTGACTGTTAGGGATGAACTTCCTGTTGTAATGAAGAGTGCGCATCAACTGGAAGAAGAACGATCTGATTTCACAAGTGCAAGAGCCTAGCTTTTCTTTCTAAAAATGTGAGTTCTATGATAAAACTTGAAGTAAACCTGGGGTTTTATAAGGGGAAAAATGACGGTTGGTTTCCCTAGCAAGCGACGCTTGGGCAAGATTTGTTTCTCGCCATTGATTACGACCACATGTCGTTAATCCACGTGAAGAGTAACCTTCATACCTCGTGGATGCCAATCAACGTTTCCCTCCATTGGAGTAACCAAGCGTCGGCGTGATTATCTCTTCCACATTAAATGCGCCCTCATCCGCATTTAATGCTCTAAAAGAGAATATCGTTTCAGCATGACTTGCATTTAATGTGTATGACTAGCACTTATTGCGCAAGAGACACGTCTGTCAAAATAAAGTTTACTTTATTGACTAGACCAGCTATCAAGCACAACATATAACATCTAAAGAGGTCGTTTGAGTAAACCACTTTTCTCCATGTATTGATTTCGAGACGATGTGACCCCTTGTTTTCAACAAAAATGTGCTAAGTATTTTTAGGTCATGAGCGACGGATGAAGTCCAAAGCATGTTGGTATAACACTGAGCAAGGTCCGACCCAGGTCGTTGAACTTGTGGGGGAAGGCCGCCTTAGGTTGCTTATACTATTCTTAGAGACCTATGCTGCGACCTCCTTATAGCTTGTTGGTCGGGTTGAACCACTAGTTTCACATCATCTTAACTGGTTGTCTCATATAGCTTGATCAAGTGTCATTCAGGATAAGTTAGGTCACGGCATAATCATGAAGTTCTCAAGGTTCAATACTTAAACCTTAAGAATTTGGGGGCTTCTGTTATGCCTAAAAAATCAAGGCTGACGTAAGCTCACGACAGCAAGGGCCAATCAGAGTTTAGGAAGATTTTGTGTCGTCCATATGCTACCACGTCGCACAAGGACGGAAGAAGTAAGGGTATCGTCAGTGTGACAGGTGAAAGCTTGACTTGTGAGTGGCTAGGAGTTGTCCACTTGCCCAAACCCTTTGCGATTTAAGGATATCTTCTGTACGGTCAACCAATGGGAAGCAAGGTAGGAATTGTACCACACACACTCGACTGCAAAATCATGATTATTACCTTGAATCCCTCGACTATAAATAGAAGACTCCTTTCTCATTTACGGGATCCGGCCATTTTTAGTTTTCTAAGAGCAGACTCTCTCTCTCTCTCTATATTTAAATTCTCTTTAGATTGTAACTCAGTTCGCTGTTAGCGACTTGACTGTAATCATCCATCAATACAAATATAATGGACGTAAGATTCGCTTTTGAGCATCCGAACTACTTTAGAAATTGTCTCTTGCTTATTCTTTCGTTGCACATTTCTATATCACATGTAATTTTTAAGTCCACTTAGCATTTTATACGTGCGAGTCGTTGGTGTCAAAATCAAAAAACGGTATTACTTGAATCGTATATGCACAAGTGTCCTTACGTGTCAGCGAGTCCTAAGTTCTGCATACATCACCAAGTGCGTTTAACTGGCACGTTCTCCAACTTACAATTTCCCTGTGCCGTCAATTTTTTTTTTTATTTAATGTTGTGCACGTTGTCTATATATATGTATGCGAACTTTCAGAATTACGTACTCTTTTTAGTCATCATCCTCTTGTAGATCATTTTCGTCCGCCCCTCATTTTCGTTTTCTCCCTCATTCGTCTTCGATAAGAACTTTTCCCTAACGAAACCCTAGATTTTCTCACCAACCAAACACCTTCTTTCCCGAGAATTTCTCAAACGCAAAACTCAATTCACACCCTTTCCACACTGTAACACCGCCAATTTCATCCGGAACCTTTCTTTCACCTAGAAATTCCCCAAATCTTGAATTTTCCCAAGAAAATCCTCCCGATTTCCCTGTAATGGGAAAGATTTTCCGGGAATATTCCAAACCCAGCGCCTCCTCTTCCTCCTCATCTTCTTCCCCGTCTCAGAGCACCACATCAACCTCGATTACCGAAACCGTCAATGGATCTCACCAATTCAAAATCACCGGCTATTCTTTATCGAAGGGTTTAGGGATCGGCAAGTACATAGCGTCCGATACTTTTATGGTGGGCGGCTACGCTTGGGCGATCTATTTCTATCCTGATGGGAAGAGCGTAGAGGACAATGCGACGTACGTTTCGTTGTTTATTGCGTTGGCGAGCGAGGGAACCGATGTGAGGGCTCTGTTTGAGTTGACTTTGTTGGATCAGAGCGGGAAGGAGCGCCACAAAGTGCATAGCCATTTTGGGAGGACGCTCGAGAGCGGGCCCTACACGCTCAAGTATCGTGGGAGCATGTGGTAAGATATTCTTTTTCTGTTCCTCTTTTATTATTTAATTTTGTGTGGAATTTTTTCTCATATAATGTAACAATGTGTTGGTTCTCTTGATTGTGTTGCTTTCTTTTGTGACCTTGTTATAATTTTTTGTCTCATATTCATTTGCTGATGATGATTATCAAGATAATTTCTTATATGGCCTTCTGCTGCTGACATGGGTGTCGGTGTTGCTGTTAATCTTTGATTTTGTATGGACGGTAGTTATTTCTAAATGTTTTATTTATTATCTTATTGAAATGATTCCTGCTACATGGATTTTCTTCTAGCTGTGAGCTTAAATTTTGATCTGTTAACTGATATTATTATCTTATGTAGGCATAAAATAGGGGACAAAATAAATCATGATTATTCTCAGAACATGGTTAAAAGATTGTTTGGATAACATAAATTTTGCGCGTTTAAGTCTTAAAGATTTATTTGATGAATAGTGGTGCACTTGCAATGTATTCAGAGTTTGTTTTTGAATTTTCCTTATAGCTCCATGAGGGTTGAGTTTGTAAATAAACCAGAAGCAAGATACCATTGCTTGCTTCAACCCCGTTCTTTTCTTTTAAAAAATTTGAGCCCATGGGTGTCCAGTTGGTATAGATATGTTACAGGGTCGGCATTGCAGGATTACCCAAATGTTATGTAATTTGTTCTCATTGAGCAATTTAATGACACACGGTTTATTGATCACAGTATTCCGGTATTGTTAATGATGTCTGCCTTTTGTTATTAGGCTTATATGTATATTGTATTTTATTTTCATCTCCTCCATGTATAATCTTTCTTTTACTCCAGGTTAAATTGGTTGTCATTTGGTTTTATCATATCTGGGTTATGATTTTTTGGTCTTAAGTTCTTGGTTGTTTATGAACTTATAGCTTGTTACATTATAGTGAGTAAATTTCACTCATAATATATGTAATTAAGTATCAAGCGCTACACAGCTTGTCTGATTATTGAATGCTACAGGGGCTACAAGCGTTTTTTCAAAAGAGTTCTTCTGGAACAATCAGACTACCTCAAAGATGATTGTCTTTCAGTTCACTGTAGTGTTGGTGTTGTGAAGTCACACACAGAAGGGCCCAAGATCTATTCCATAGCTGTACCACCTTCTAACATTGGTCAGCATTTGGGGAAACTACTGGAAAGTGGAAAGAGAACTGATGTAAATTTTGAAGTTGATGGTGAAGTATTCGCTGCTCACAAATTGGTGCTTGCCGCTCGTTCACCTGTATTCAGGGCACAACTCTTTGGTCCGATGAAGGATCAGAATACTCAGCGTATAAAAGTTGAGGACATGGAGGCCCCGGTTTTTAAGGTTCAATACATCTCTCTTTTTCTTTTCTTAGCTGCACAATATTTTTGCATCAGTCAGTTTTTTTTTTTTTTTTTTTTCCATAAATATGCCTGCATAGAGGTTTCGAAGACATTTTAGGTACATAAATCTACTGTTTTTTAAATCCAAATTGTGAAATGCAAATAGTGTGCTGGTTGTGGTTGCATGCTGCAAATATTTTGTGTGTTTGTTTTTATAACTTTTATTTTGGTTTTCACTGGGCATAAATCATGAGATTTTATTAGCAGCTAAGTAATTTTGGGATTTCTAAAGCAAATCTGAATAGCATTGTTTTAATGGATTCATGGAATGGACCTTGTGGAAGTTTGACTACTCTTTTGCTGGTTATGAATTGTGGGGGTCATGAAAGAGCTATATCAATCCCTCTTGTTTTGAAAGTTCTATCCGATCTCTTTAATTTACCCCAGTGTTTTGTAATCTTTAACATTTTATATACCAATTGAACTTTGTCATGAGATTCTAGATTTAGTATTTGTGATATGCAAATATAAGTTGATTAAATCTACAGTTTTGGAAATATGCTGTCTATTTATTGTAAACGTTCATCGCTTCACTGGACAAATGTGGCGTCTGGCTTTTTTATTTATTTTTACAAATCAGGTGAACCATTTTAAATGATCATTCATAACTTATCGCTTCTCAAACCTGATTTGTCCCTTCCAGGCTTTGCTGCATTTCATATACTGGGACACTGTACCTGACATGGAAGAGATTACTGGTATGAACTCAAAGTGGGCTTCAACTTTGATGTCTCAGCATCTGCTTGCAGCGGCAGATAGGTATGGTTTAGACAGGCTCAGATTGCTTTGTGAGACCAATCTTTGTGAGGACGTTGCCATTAACACTGTGGCAACCACATTAGCTTTGGCAGAGCATCACCATTGTTTCCAGCTGAAGGCTGTTTGTCTCAAATTTGTTGCCATGCCTGAAAATTTGAGAGGTACTTATAACGAAATCCTCTTATTATGTCTATTGCAATTTGATCTTGGATGAGAAAAATTGTTTCACTAATCCCAGAACTATACCCCGTATTGAAGAAAATATTGAAACTCTTCAGATTTTAGGTCTTCCGTTCACAAACCATGTAAAGGATTGGAGTTGACCACTGATGTGATTGGTGGTCATCTTGTATAATATAAACATTTATCGTATTCTTAGAATTTTACACCCATGTTGTGGATATCTTTGTACAGTGTACATTTATCGTATATATTTTCTAGCTTTTAGAAGCGTATACCAAGCTTTTTTAATTCACTAAATGTTGCAAGTTTATTGCCAGTCGACCTACTTCTGCGTATCTCACTTACTATGCTATATTGTAATAAGTTTGACCTTGCGTTGCATGTTCACAATATAGTCTTTAGGCTTAAAGGTGTGAGGTGTCCCGAGTTGCACAATTGTTAGGCATTGTTCCTAGAAAGTTGTCTTTCTACTCCTGCATTAATTAGTGCCACAATCTTCAGTATTAATTTTACCGAAAATTTATCTCTGCTTTCCAATATTATTAGTAAGCTGAAGCTTGTTTAACCTTTTTTTTTTTTGTGTGTGTGTGTGTGTGTGTGTGTGTTTTGCAGCTGTGATGCAAACTGATGGTTTCGAGTACTTGAAGGAAAGTTGCCCCTCTGTTTTGACAGAACTGTTGGAGTACGTCGCCAGAGTAAGTGAGCACTCTGTAGTAGTATGCAGGCAATTTAATGAAGCTATCCTTGATGGGAGTGACGTCAATGGGAGGCGGGTTAAGCAAAGGCTATAGGGAAAGCAGCTTTTCATACATCTCTTGTAGCCCCCACCAAAAAAAAAGAGAGAATGAAAGCCTTCTCATATGTAGGATTAGAAACAATTTTTCTAAGGTCAGCTTCTGTAATTCTGTATTTGTAATTGTTGTAAATTTAGTTCATTTGGTGTCCTATGATTTGCTTGTTTTATGGAATTTGCTTTTGTAGTTTCTCCTAATCTTGCGTTTCTTGAATTACCAGTGTGCATTCTTTGAATTTCAGTTCAAACGGCAGCTCGCAATTTCGAACCAAATGCCTATTCTTTTATCTTGTATAACATAATTTCACAAGTTAAATATTACATTCGTTTTTTTTTTTTTTTCATGAAGAGGTGGCTTTGATAATCGAGTCTACTGTGGTTGTCTTTATTAAGGAAGAGATGATATTAAGGTTCATTTGGTTGTGGGGATGTATTATTAGAAATGTTATATTAACGAGAAGATAGATTATATTGAAGATTTATGAGAATGTGTTTGGTTATATTTGAATAAAGTGGTAGATATGTTATATAAATTATTCAATTGTATTTTTTTTTAATATTATTATTATTATTTGGATTATTTTTTAAACATTTGAGATTTTGTTAAAACTGCCATCCTGAACTCATGTAGTTTCAACGTAGTCTCAGTCACAATAAAAATTTAAATTTTAACAAAATCAGTTCTATCCATCCAAGCCACTATCTGTCATCAGTTATCACTGTTGGTCGTGGCTTGAATGATACACGATCGATCGGATCTGACTGTTTTTTGTTAGATAAATTTGATCGTTTTTCAATGGTGCTGGTGGGCTGTGATTCGTTAGAAGGTGATGAGGGTAAATTGTTTTAAAAACAGGGACATTATTGGTTAAAAATTTTATTAGTTAGAAAAAAAATTAAGATTTTTAAGTAATCTTAAAATACATAAAAAAAATGATTATTTTTATATTACTATATATATAATTAATAATAATTACTATTAGTTTTATAGAATTATCAAAATATTATATTACTTAATAATAAAAAACATAATAACGTAATTAATATAAAGTGGTATTACTGATGTAACGTGAAATACCCTCAAGTACCCTCCAACCAAAAGCGCCCTAATAGTAAACTCTGTTTCCGTGAGATTTTTGAAGATACCGTACCGAACACACAGCGGAGCCCAAACGCTTTAATTGGAAGTTTATTTGGCAAAACAACGAGTAAAAAAACATTTTGCCTTTTTGTCAAAATAATTGACTTTAATAGCATATTAGAAGTATTACTGTTACATTAATATATTAGTCATATCATATTATATTATTATCTACTAATTTATCATTATAAAATAATAATGTCACCTTATTTGTGCAAATTCAAATATTAATTCTGGATAATATATTAAATAAACTTATTTATATTAAATAATAATACTGAATTAACTGAAGAATAAATCCTTATTAATTTATAATTAAGAAAATTAACTGAAACAATGAAAAAACCTTCCCTTCACTCATTTAAGGCAATGCGCTTCTAGTTGGGGAAATACATGTACTGCTACCCAAACAGAGTGCAAAGCACGAAACAAAAGCCGTTCCCTTCCCTTGCTTTCACTTACCAGGACAAAAACCAAATCAAAGCACACCCTACCTCTCCGGCAAACAAAAATGGTAATATTCTTTCAGATTCTTAATATTTCCTCTCTAATCTTGTCTGTGTTTTTCCACAGCTTTAAGGAGTTTTTCGTAGATTTTTTTTTATTATCTCTTTTAATATCATGGGTCTTGTTTCATCGGTTTGTTTGTTTTGGTGCAGTTGTTTTTTTCGTATTTCAAGGACTTGGTGGGCAGGGAAGTGACTGTGGAGTTGAAGAACGATTTGGCGATCAGAGGGACCCTGCACTCAGTTGATCAGTACCTCAATATCAAGCTCGAGAACACCAGGGTTGTTGATCAAGACAAATACCCTCACATGGTACACATATTTCCTCTCATAACTTTCTAGGGTTTTTTTTTTTTTTTTTTTTCTATTAATGTTTCAATAATGAACATCCATTTTTGAATTGTGCGACTGCGGTTGGAAATTTAGGGTTCATTAGGGCATCTGAACTTTTTTTTTCTCTCTTTAAATTTTAGGTTTACCATATATTGAATGTAATTTTCTATTGACTATGGTTTTGCTTTCAATGATTGGGTTTGATAGTGTGAAACTAATAGGGAAATTAGGGCTGTGATTTGTTAGGGCTTTAGAAGATTCTAGAGCCTTGAATCTCAATTGTTGTGCTTATCAACTACCAAATTTGTAAGCCTTTGTCTTATAGAATCTGGCAGCTTGTACCTTTTATAGTAGTTACGGGATGATCTTGTAGTGCATCAATGTACTGTGATAACTTATGAGCCTGGCGTTTTCTGTTTTGTTGCTCTCCTTGGTCAATAATGTTATTACTTTGCGTTTACCTTCTTTGAAGGAATTTATTCTGGAGGTGAATTGGCTTTTGCACTGATTTTTATCATGAAGTATTATAAGAAAATGGGTACCTCTGCAGCATGTACTGCTATTGTGTTTATTCTGGGATTTGTCATTCTTTTCCTCCAGTGATTACTTTATTTTTCTTATGACACCTGATCTGATTATCTGCTGAATATTGATGAGTTTGATCTGTTCATGTTTTTCATAGCAAATGTTTTGATGGGATGATATTGGTGCTTATGGATATAATTTAAAATGCTTTAGTCAGGGTTATGATGTAAAATTCCTGAGTTTGTGGTATATTAAGGTTTCGAAGCTTTTGGGATGTTAAGATACATTCCTAGGTTGAAGTTCCACAAATTGTAGAGTCAAAGAATATTAAATTAAATTTGGAAGACAAAACAACTTAAAAAATAGGTTGTGGTTTTCTCAATTTGAATTTATTAATTCTTAAATTGATCTAGAATTTGAATTTATGGTTCAATGATATTCAGTTATCCATTTGGAATTTCTCTTTAATCTTATTAAAGATTTTACAAGAAAATTTAGTGGCTGGTCATTTAAATTTTGGTGCTATAAAATAGTGGAATGTTTGGGTGTATTTACCCTTGGTTTCTCATGTTTTTGTAGGCTGATCATATATGGGAGAGATTTTGATGCACTTATTTTGTAGTTTTCTGATGCATTAATGATGCACAAATAAAAAGTTGAGTTAAAATATCATGTCAAAATGTGGATTTTAATTACTATTTTTCTCTATATATGCTTGTTCATTTCCCTTCAAATTTTTCATTAATTTCCAGAATGTTGAATATACTAGTTGTAGATATTGTTGATGGTATACCACTAAGTTGTGTTCCCTCAGTCAAGCATGTGTTTTATTACCCATCTTGTTTCTTTGTAGATCCTCAATGTACTTCTTTAGTCTAATGCAGATGTTATTCCCCTTATTTATCCATCTTTCTGTTTCTTAATAATTTGCTGGGTGCATTTGATGACCTTTTGCTAAATTACAGCTTTCAGTGAGGAATTGTTTCATCAGGGGATCAGTGGTGAGATATGTTCAATTGCCTCCAGATGGAGTTGACGTTGAGCTGCTTCATGATGCCACAAGAAGAGAAGCTCGGGGTGGCTGAAGTTCATTGTCTAAATCTTTAATGTACTTTTATGGATATTAATTTAAATTACTTTTTAATGTAATAGATTTTTATTTTGAAGTAAGACTCCAAAGGCTGTATATTGGCCCTGCAATAGGCCAATGTGGACAAAATCCAGAGCCCCTCCTATTAATTGGGAAAAATGTTCTTGGATTGTGTTAACATCTATCTGTTTATGAATTATTTCAGAAGTCTGCCCTTTGGAGAGATCTATATTTTCTTTAATCTCATTGCATGTTGAATATATATACGTGTGTGTGCGCGTGTGAGTGATGCAACATTGAGTTCACAAATCGTATTAAGATTGATGTAGTCTGAGGGGTGTGCAAATGCCCAAGCTTTTGACTTAAAAAGTTGGGCATTAGCTATTAGAAGCATCATTTACTCTTGTGTGATAATGATAGAGAAATTTGGAGGATGAAAGTTGAAACACGGCGTTTTCTACGAAAGGTTTGTATGATCTTAATCCTATTGGTGTGTCACATTTCAAATGTATGTACTATGTGCCAGGTAATATTTTGATTGTAATAAGCCAAAAAAAAAACAAAATGCTGTTTTGTATTGTTTAAGAGCTAGTTCCTGAGATCTCTCCTAATAAGTTCCCTAAAACTCTGACGAGATTCTCATTCTCTCATCTTGCCATCGGCATCTTTTACCTGTAACTTATAATATATCAACTTTCCATGTATAAATAAAAAATATTTATTAGTTAGTTACCTATGCTTTTAACTGTCTTCATATGTATCCATTTCCATTTCTTAACAAGGCCGGGTTTATTTAGCACCACCTCCCCTTCACCACGCAACTCCCTCTGCTGTTTTCTTCTCTTGTTTCATACATGCATGTATATTTGGACCATGTTTGTCTATACAGATTTGTGTTCCCGAAGTAATCACCATTGTTGTAAAACATGTCTCAAGATACTGAATAAAGAGTCGCTGAAAATCAAAGGTATGTACTTACTATACATATTGCTGTTTTTTTATTTTATTAACATTTTCTATTTATTTGGTTATTTTTCTTGCATCTAGGAGTTTGTGGTACACAGAACAAGGTTTGCTAATAGTTACTGGCTCAGTAGATCCATCCATTCTCGTAAACACAACAGAGAAATTTGGCGTAATTGCAAAGCTTTTGGTTCATGAAAAAGATCCCATTCATGCCGAAGAAAAACTAGATTAATTCTTGAACAACATGCAGATTGGCCAGGCTAGAAATGTAAGTTCCTCAAAGGACAAGAAAAATGACAACCATGACAAGTTAGAAGATCATCAACCTACTTCAATCACAATGATTATCTCGACTATTATAATGGTGCTCCTTATACGAGTCCTTATGTGGTTAATCACCGTGTACCTTTTCTCTTATTTTTTTAGTTTGGAGGGGTATTTTTGCAATAAAGTTAATTTATTTTTTATAGCCGTTGGAAAGCGTGCACTTGACGCTAATTTAAAATCGCCCTTAAATCTTGAACGTTAATATTTCCCACCGCTTTGCTTTACTTATAAATACAAACATGAAACTTGATGGCGCTGATATTGGAATATTAGAATTGGAGAGCTAAATGCATATCCAAATATTAGAATCAGAGAATGTCACCAAGACAAAGAGACTTCTTCAACAACGTTGATTAGTCATTAGTCCCTTCCTTTCAATGCATCTACGTAAATTGGTCTTCATTAGCCCCTTCTCTTCAATGCATCTAGGTGAATTGGTATTTTGTAATTTGTTCGGTCTGACACCATCAAAATGAGTGTTTCATTCTAGGTTTAGTTTTCTTCTTAATTCTTAATTCTTAATATTTTGTTCAAAATTCAGGGTATTGATTAAATTTTTGGAGCTTTTGATGTTTATTTTACAGAATTAAAATTAATATGGGTGTTTGTTATTTTTAAAAAATTAAGGGGAATAAAAGAATTTGGGACAACTATAGGGTTTATTTTTTTCCTATTCTGGAATATGAATTATTGAAAGAACGAAAACTAAACCCTAGTTATGTGCCCGGCGAATCTCCCGTTTTTAGTCAAGAGAACCATTTTTGCAGGTGGTTGAGATGGACACGGGATCAGATCATCCCGAAACCCTAGCCAGAAGGTTCTCCTTTCTTGTTTCTTTTTGGGTTCTATTAATGCATTGTATTATCATTTTGTCAAGTATTTTTTCTTGAATAGTTTCGTCGCCGATAAAATGTTAGAATCATGATGGAGAACATATTTAGTTAGGTAAACAACCATTGACACATCATTATGATTGAATTAACTTAATTTTATTTGAACTTCTATAAAGATCATTGGTTAAGCATTTCTCAATGAACGATTCAGTGCCTGAGAAAATTTAAGAATCATAATGGAGAATATATTTAGTTAGTTAAACCATTGGCACATCAGTGTCGGTTTAATTAATCTGGTTTTAACATCTTTTAAGCCAAAGAAAATAAAAGAAAATCTTGTTTCACTGATCTGTAACAGCTTTCATAATCAAGATATGAATCAACATGTTGTTTCTGTCCACTAGAATGATAATAAATTGGAATTTCTTGGGTTGAACTGAGTTTTTTGTATTCCTGTTTTATTTACAGGCACAAATGTCCTGCATGCTTTAAACAATTTAAGAGAAAGGAACATCTTATTGAGCACCTGAAGGTCTCATATCACTCAGTTCATCAGCCAAAATGTGGTGTTTGTCAAAAGCACTGCAAAACTTACGAATCTCTTCATGAACATCTTACTGGTATATTTTATTTGCATGCTTATTCTGATCAATCTATTGATAAGTTTCTTAGTTTGGTTTTTCTTTATTCATATAGGTCCATTGCGGAAAGCATGTTGTTCAAAGATTTTCTCTGATCTAGGCTGCAGTCTTTGTTTCAAAATATTTGATAACCCCAATTCCCTTACCAAGCATAAAGAAGGATGCTGCCTTTCTGCACCTGCTCCCTCTGTAAGTTGGTTGGTGAAATTTTTAAGTGTCTCATTATGAGAACTGAGAATCTTCTCTTCTCACAGTGTGTTAAACTTTTTGAGCAATCAATTGAGAAAGTCCTGTAATTCTTTAGACATTCATGTGCTAAATCGTGTTGATTATTCTAGGGAATAGCAATGCGTTGTGCAGAATCTCAGGAGAAAATTTCAGGCGTAGTTGTTAAAAATCACACTGGCAGAGGCCATGGTGCAGTAGCCATGGACTGCGAAATGGTTAGTGGTGGAGACAATGGATCACTCAACCTTTGTGCTAGGGTCTGTCTCATTGACGAAGATGAGAATATAATTTTCCATACTCATGTTCGACCTCAATTCCCTATCACAAATTATAGGTACATTCCTGTTATGTATTGTCTGTTGTTTTTCTAAAATAATTGTTATGAGTGAATGTGCTGATCATTCACATAGCTTCATTAACTTTTTCAGATATGACGTAACTGGGTTAACTGAGGAGCATCTAAAAGATGCCATGGCACTAAATGAAGTGCGGGATAAAATTTTGCAAATTTTGTACAATGGAGAGTCTGTTGAGAAGCTAAGGTTGGATGGTGGAAAGGCTAGACTTCTTGTGGGTCATGACCTAGAGCATGATTTAGATTGCTTAAGAATGAACTACCCTGAGCACATGCTGAGGTATAGTGAACATTTTATGGGTCCTGTTCTGGATAATAAATGTATCCTATAAATGCTCTTTTTTCAATTAAAAGATATAATGAAATATGCATAGAAGGTCTACTAAAATTTCAGGTGCTTGGCTTCTGCAGCTTTGGATTTGGATATTTTGATAACGCTTTTTTATTTATGATCTATGGGACGTTTTAATTATTAATACGTGCTTTATATGAAGTTTTGTTGTAGCTGTAAAATATAACCCTTCTCTTGTACGATAATAACATCCTCTTCATTCAGGGATACTGCAAAATACTGTCCATTGATGAAGACAAATCTGGTTAGCCACTCGCTCAAATACCTCACCAGAACATATCTGGGGCAAGTTACTTCTGTCTTGGTTCTATTCTGCAAACTGATTCTTTCTAATGTTCTTTTTTATTTCACCAGCAATTTTTTCCCTTGAACTTTCTTGTTCATATGGTGGTTATTATCTAATTTGTACCTCTATTGTATGTGCATAAAGAGATCTTTCCTCATGAAGTATTAAAACTAGTGTCTCCTAATCCGCACTACAGTTCCACTGTTTAGCGCCTATGGACATTTTTTTTTCTGTTAGACAGGGAGGTTGTAAGAACAAATTAAAACAATCTCTGTTTTGCTCTATCTCTATAATAAGATGCTCATTTAGTGTGATTGTGAATGAAGGGCAGTACTATTGGCAATAATAATAATAATAATAATGATAATAATACTTGATAGAATTTGTAATTTATTTTGGGGTTTGTGGAATTACCAAGCACATAAAATTATTGATCAGGCTTTTGTTCACAGGTACGATATTCAGTCCGGGGTGCATGACCCATATGAGGATTGTGTGGCAGTGATGAGATTGTACAAGAGATTTAGTTGCCAACTTGATCATGTGGAAGAANCGGTCAGGATCATCCAGGAGCTGTCTCAAAACGACACCGTTCCATTAATTCAGTACGATGCCGTTTCAGCATTCACTCACAACAGACTTAATACGATAAATGCGAGAATCTATTCCAATAAGGCCTTCACAATCACTTGAGGGTGATATGTTATTCAATTTCTTCGATATATCTTTGACAATGTTAGCTACAAGTTTTGACTCAGGCCTAACAATACGAAGAAGAGAAATATTGAGTTTAAAGCAATGACCATAAAGAAGAGAAATAGTGGAAATCAGGATCGTAATGATAGCTAGTCATGTACCATTGGGTCTTAATTAAGGTTCTTCTCTGCTTAAGCTTTTCTAATGCAGATGAAGAAATGTGTTGAAGTACAGATGAAGACCTGCAGAATGCAAAACGCTCTGACTTTAGGCCTTCAGTTTTTAATTTTGTCTCTGATTGTTGCAAATTATACTAAGTAGTAGTAGTGTGGAAAAACAGAAAAAATGTTGTGAATTAGTGTAAGCTTAGTTTAGGCACTTTGGTTTATGGGAAGATATTGGATATAAATGTGAGTAAGCAGGTTAATTTAGTGTCACTCTAGGCCCTTTGGTTTACGGGAAGATATTGGATATAAATATAAGTAAGCAGGGTTGTTTCTGCAAAGATTAGAAGTTAGTGAGTTAAGCAGGACTGTTTTTGTAAAGACAAAAGTAGAAGTCACACGATGCATTTTGTAACTGACCATATAAAGTCAGTTTCATCTGTTTTGTAACTACTACTTCATTCAATAAGAAGATTCTAAAATTTCAGCACAGCTACCTTCTTCTCTCAATTCCTTCACTGCTTTTAATTTCTTTTTCGAATCCGCTCAACAACCTTCAAGAAGCTTCTAGATGAGGGGCTAACTAACTTTTACATAACACCAGCTAGTTAATGATTGAAAAGTCGATTCTTGAAATTAAGGTTCATATGAATATGGTTGAAATGATGATGATCGTGAAAAAAAGATTATGATTCTTGAAATTGAGGTTTATATGAATATGGTTGAGATATCTTTTGGCAACGCTAGCTAGTAGAATAACATATGATTGGCTGGACTATAAAAATAAGCAAAACCTAATTAATTATTCTGAACAGATGCCCGGTGGCAGTTGCCATTGATACAAATGCTAAAAACAATTTTCCGGTGATTGTCATTTGTCCTGCATTAGGAAAGAATCACGTTATAGTTACGTAGCTATCCTATATAAGAGTAGGCTCCGCATTAAGTAAAACTCACAAGCACAACATTCACGGTTAAAAAGATTGTCATTTGCGCAAATAAAGAAATGTCGTCGTATACTGAGGTTTCAGCAGTTGCAATTTCAGCACCAAAACCTATTCGTCACACTACTAATTTCCATCCCAACATATGGGGAGATCAATTCCTGAAAGAAACTTCTGAATATAAGGTATAGCCACGTATCTTGTACACGAGTTATAAATTATAAAAGTCTCACATTCAAACATGTTTTGCATGTATAACATAGGGATAATTTTGTACCATAGTATTGGACTAATGTAATGTTGAGATTTAGGTAGAATGACAATTTAACATGATATCAGAGTCAAAGGTTTAAAGTTTAATTCTTCACATTTAACTCCATAAAAAAAAGTTGAAAAAAGAATCAAATTTCATGTAAGGATGTCTATTAGACTACTGTAACGTTAAACCCTCACTAGTTTGAACTTTTAGATGAGATAGCTACTTAACACATAGAGATACCATGCATGCCGTTCATATCATGTCTCATAAATTTTTTATTTTAAGAAATACAAATCATATACATTAATTCAGATGATAAATTTAAATTAGCGTATAGATGTTAAAATTCTCTGTATATTTAAACTTTTTTCTTCAGGATACATATAACATAGTATATTCTTCTCTCCTTGATTCTTATATGCAACCCTATTTAGAAATATTATAAATCCTCTTTATAGTATAAATAAATCGATTACATGTGCATGCACGCATTTACTAATGGATTGGAAAAAATATCTATCCAACGAATAAATCAAAATCTATTAGGAAGGGTGGCCGTAGTCCTGCTGGGAAACTCTTCTGTGAGGTTTCAATTACTATAATCTGTTGCAACTTTAATTTTTTTTATATATAAAACTGTTACATACACTTTTAGATACATTTTAATTTTTTATTTATTGCTGCCATACCTAATTATATACTTTTGTTACATATATCAAGTATTACTGATTTTGTAATATATTGTGTTCATGTTTTAGTGTGTGCGCGTTATTATTATTATCATTATTTTATTTTGCAGCCAATTGATCCTAACATTCAAAAAGAATATGAACAATTGAAACAAGAGGTAAGGTGGATGATAATGGATACTACAGTTTCCCATGCCCAGAAATTGCACTTGATTGATGCAGTCCAACGCCTAGGCGTGGCTTATCTATTTGTAAAAGAGATAGAAGATTCGTTGGATAACATTTCTAGTGATAGTAACAGTGATGATTATAATGATCTCTGCACTGTTTCTATCTATTTTCGACTTCTGCGGCAACATGGAATAAGGATTTCCTGTGGTAAGTAATTTTCTTAAGCTATATAAAATATTGCGCACTCTTCCAAATTATAAACATTAGCATCTCTAACCGAAGTTGACATCTTATATAAATGTATAAGCAGATGTATTTGAAAAGTTCAAAGATTGTGAAGGCAAATTCAAGTCATCCTTGAATGATGATATTCAAGGCCTACTAAATTTGTATGAGGCAGCATACCTTGGTATTCATGGTGAAGATCTTTTAGATGAAGCCCTCGCTTTCACAACTGTTCACCTTAAGTCTGCGGTGTCTTGTGTAAGCCCTCGCCTCGCAGAGCAAATAAATCATGCTCTTAATTGTCCTCTCCGTAAAGGCATACCAAGGTTGCACGCAAGATTTTACATGTCTGACGTATATCCCAGAGATGATTCACACAATAAGACTTTGCTAAAATTTGCAAAGTTAGACTATAACATATTACAGGCATTGCATCGAAAGGATCTTCATGATATCTTACAGTAAGCTCCTCTGTTTATATTATAAAGGTGTTTTAAAAACATTATTTCATTTTTTATTATTAAATTATCTCTTATGTGTTTTAGGTTAGTTAACGAACAAAAAGTTATCGGGTGAAAACATATTATCTTATATAAATTGCATGCTTATAATAACTTGCAAGTACAATGGATTTGTGTCTCATAAGTAAGATATATTGTTGTGGTTATCATTAAGTTGAGCTGTATTTCAGGTGGAAGGAAAAGTTAGTCTTGGCTACAAAGTTCCCTTATGCAAGAGATAGAAGAGTCGAGGAATATTTTTGGATTTTGGGAATTTTGTTTGAGCCACAATATTCATATGGCATAAAGAAATTCACCCAAATTTTAAGTCTATTAGTCATCATAGATGATACATTCGATTCCTATGGCACACTTGAAGAACTCACACTCTTTACAGAAGCAATCAAAAGGTATCTCAAAGCTTCAATTCCGTTTGAATATCTTAATAGATTAAGGAAATCGAATTCAATAGTCATTTTAAATTAATGATGTGAATGTTTATTTGATTTACAGATGGAAATTGATGCCATCGATTCACTTCCAGACTACATGAAACACATTTATAAGGCAGTGTTAGGTGAGTACGCTGAAATTGAGGAACATATGGCCAACCAAGGAAAACCATGCTACATAAGCTATGCGAAAGAAAGGGTATGTGATTCTCACCCAAAAAAAAAAAAAAAAACCTTAGTTTTGCCTATCATAAGCTCTCACTTTTTATAAGTTTACAGAGAAAAAATATTTTCCTACTTTAATTGAACATTTGACCAAATTTAATCTTGTATTAAACAATTTTAATAAATCTAGCTACCTTTCCCTCCATGGTTTTATACTTGACTGGAAACAATTTTTGTATTAAACAATTTACGTATATTCGAAACTTCTTTTTTGCCTTTCTTGAGCATGGTTAACTGAGTTTGGTTATGCCCCTTAGCTTCAAACACTTGTTCAAGCATATTATGATGAAGCCAAGTGGTTCAATCAAGGCTATGTTCCAACATTTGAGGAATATATGACTGTTGCTCTAGAAACTTCTGGTGTGGAATTGTTCATTTCACTTGCCTATCTTGGCATGGATGATGCAACTAAAGAGGATTTGGACTGGCTATGGTCTAACCCTAAGCTTGTTAGAGGGTCAAAGGTTATCGTTAGACTTGTGGACGACATAGTCACTCATAAGGTATGTATATATTAAGGAAGGTTCATGAACACCATATCTTTTACCCTAATTATGACACAATTTTAGGCCAGTAATTTTAAGCACTTTTAAATGGTTGAGATTCGATACAACTTTCACATTTAATGCACTTTGAAAAAGAAATAATCCGAATTCAGTCTCAATCATTCAAATGTTTTAATGTAACTGCTAAAAAAGTGTGTCAAAACTTGTGTAAAAAGAAAAAAATGGGGCTCTTGAACCTTTCCCACATCTAATATATGCTTGCAATTTTCATCTTAGAAGAAAATTAAAAGCCTCATTATATACTTATTATATGCAGTTTGAGCAAGAGAGAGGACATGTTGCCTCTGCTATTGAATGCTACATGAAGCAGCATGGTGTTTCTGAAGAAGAGGCAGTGAAAATGATGAAGGTGCATGTTGAGAAGGCATGGAAAGACATGAATGAGGACATGCTCAAACCAACTTCTGTGTCAATGAATAAACTTGAGCGAGTTTTAAATTATGCATGTGCAATCCACGTTATATATTACAAGAGTGGTGATTCCTTCAACAATCCTCACAAACTCAAGGACAAAGTTGCCTTATTGCTTAGAGACCCAGTGCCACTTTGAAGAGAAGCTCAAAAATCTACCACTTCGCGATATGAGCAAGGAATAAATGAGAATAATGTGTTTATCTTCAGTCTGGGATTGATTATACTACACCCCTATTTGTACAAAATAAATTTGTATTAAAATTAATATATCAAATTTTAATACAAATTCAGAATAATGTTCTTATTATGTTGATGGTAAGTCGTATGCTTTTGATACACTTTGATGTGACTCACTTGAGACTTTCATCCTACACTTAAACAATTCCCAACAATACCTTCAAAATCTTATTTGAATGAATTTAACGGACCAAAAGTGATATAAAGAGAAAATAATAAAGGCAAAGATAAAAACGAACTACTCAAACAAACAAACAACCAATTAAAAAATTATATCACAAGCATTCAACGTGGTTCACTTTAAATTGATTACGTTTATGGGATGAATAATTTCATTAAATAAGAGAACAAACAATAATACAATGATTTAGTTTTCTCACTTTTCAGGTCTTAATCTCTGTACCTCGCCATGTCTCTTGTGTTTAAGTTTTTGTTGAGTGAAGCTTTAAACGGTGTCGTATTGCACCTGTCAATACGCTGTCGTTTTAAAGGTAACTGAAGTGACGAATCTCAGCCATCGGATTCAGCCTGATCTAACGACTCTCACCAGCGCAGTAAGTCAAAGTATATAAAGCCACAAATCTGAGAAAACAAACTGTGAATGGAAACCTCTCTTTCACCTTTTGCAACAGGGTTAGGGTTCTTGTTTGATACTCTTAATCAAGTCTTGTAATCAGGTCACAGCTTTTGGGAATATTGTGAGTAGAAGGATTAGGTAGTTCTTCTGGTGTAAGCATTCTGTTTCTGGGTTTGCTTATTGTGATTACAGTGAGATTTGAGGGTTTGTTGTAACGATTTGAGAGTTGGGTATTTTGGGTGTGATTTGAGTTGTACTTGTAATACTTTGATCCTTATAGTGCAGTGAGTCCCAATTTGCTTGGAGCTCAACGTGGATGTAATTTATTCCATTGGAATAAGCGAACCACGGTAAAAATCTTCCGTGTTCTTGATTGTGTTCTTGATTGCGTTCTTGATTGGTTAGTCTTGTGATTGTGTTTGTGAGTGTTTAAAGTTAGGTTTGAATTCGGTTTTAATCCCAACAGTTTTGCTCACTCATTGTCCCCGCTCTTCGTCTTTGACGGCTTCTCTCTGGGTTCAGTCTCTCACTTTTTCACACTTTTTTGAATTTTCTCTTTCTGAGCCACAACATCAACACATTATTCCTTCTAAATTATAAAATGAAAATACAATCCCTCAAAAAGGAGCGTAAGTCATAATTTCACTCAGGCATTTTTTTATTGGTATTAAGATAAGAGTCGTCAATCTCTAGATGAAATAAGTCTATTTAACATGAATAAAAAAAAAAAAAAAAAAAAAAGATTCCCAATACAATAAATATGCTTTGTTTTAACTCCCAACAAACTCCCTTAAATTAAGCATTTAAGCCTTTGAATTCTTAGTACATTATCCCATTACGGTTTCCTTATTGTCCACTGTGGAGATATGAATTATGATATTAAGGGAAACTAATATTTGACTTTAATGTCAAATATTATGTTTTAATTACATTGCGAGTATGTGCTCCTTACATCCCTGATCATATGGAATTATGATATTAAGGCAGAATATGTGCATTGCCTTTTACAGATTATTCCTTATGTAAAAATAGCCTTTGTATAGATCATATCAAATATATACAACAGACAGACTTTGTTATGAAATTCTTCTCTTCTTTCTTAGGCATTCTTTGGCAGACACTTTGCTATTTTTGCCTCTTTCTTCTTTACTTCTTCTTCTTCTTTAATCTCTGACATGGTATCAAAGGTCTCCTGTTAAGCTTCTGCTCAAACAACCTCTCTTTTCTGTCCCTTAAATTCAAACAGAAAACTTGGTTACTTTTTTATTCTTTTAGTTCAATACAATGCCAGATAATCAAATCACAAATATCACTAGGGGTGTAAACGAGCCGAGCCGAGTCGAGCTTTTGGCTTATCGAGCTCGGCTCGTTTACAACAGTGTCGAGCTCGAGCCTGACGAGCCTCAAAATTGAGACTCGAGCTCGAGTCGAGCTCGAGCCGGCTCGCGAGCTGGCTCGATATCGAGCTCGATAAGGGCTCACAAGCTTGTTATCGAGCTCGATAAGGCTCGATCAAACCACCATTTATCCGGGTTTGATCGAGCCAAGTTCCATTTTTTTATATCAATCTGCCTGCGTATAACATTTCATATTTACATCCAATGTTGAATTAACCATGATAGTTCTGAATATATACAAATAACATTCCTAGGAGATTACCGATTTCAGAGTGTCTGGTTCGCGATTTGGGATTTAGGGGTCTTTGATTGCGATTTGGGATTTAGGGCAACTGGGATGGGGAACTGAAATTGAGTAATTGATGCTCTGTTTTGGTGTATCGTGTTATTTCAAATTTGCACTTTAGGGGGGGGGGGGGGGGGGAACTGTCATTTTTTTAAACTTTTTTCACTGAAAAATATCAGTTTAATACCTAATAGTTTAAAAAATCACCAAAATACCCTATTAAGTGTACAGTGCTTAATCGAGTCGAGCCGAGCCAGGCCTGCGAGCCCACGAGCCGAGCTTCACTGTGTTCGAACTCGACTCGGTTAACGAACCGAGTTCGAGTCGAGTCGAAACAAGCCTTATCGAGTCGAGCTCTAAACGAGCTTTTATCGAGCCGAGCGGAGCCGGCTCGGCTCGTTTACAGTCCTAAATATCACACTTTCAAACCCCATAGACCAACCCCCTCAGGGCCCAAATACATCAAACCCCACCATGGGCCAAACAGGCCCAACTCCACCAAATCAAACAGGCCCAGCTCCACCAAATCAAACCGGCCAAAACCCGACATCTCAACCCAACAATTTTTCCTACCCATTTGGATTTTCAGGTCTCAAACCGGGTTTAGATTCCCGAACAGGTTCAAATCCCTACCTGACACAATTTCCCTTCAACATCCAAATGCTTCCAACCGCCAGCTATCACCTTTAACTAGGCGACATATTGTACGCGCTGGCCTCCAATGGCCCTCAAATAATTCTCATCAAACAGGTCACCATTCACTTAGAACTCATAAGAAAAATTGTAGATCCATGTTAGACCGCTCTTGAAGAAAGTTGTATTGAGCCTTGTTAAGAAAATTTTGTATTTTTTGCATTTATTTCTTTTGTGTTTTCCAAATATTATTGATACCAGAAAACAACCAACGTTCCTAAATCTCCTTTAAATATTTATCACAACTTTCAAGTGTTTGAAAGATTTATTTCCTAACTATTAGGTGGTCAAGTGATTTGATAAACATTCTTGGGTATATTACTCAAGAGGTCTTGAGTTCGAGTCTCTTCTCAGTTGTTAATAGGAGAAACCACTAGAGTTCTTAGCGATCGATAGTTTCAAGGTTACAAGGGACTAGTTGAGGTGCACGTAAGCTAACCCGGATACCCTCAGCCATAAATTTAAAAAAAAAAAAAAATTTATTTTCTAAGGACACCTTGATACTTATTTTGAAGAACTAATCATTATTCTCCAAATCTCTTTATTTTTTATTTCTAAGAGGTTAAGAAATATTTAAGAACTTATGAAATTCTAAACCATGTACTCTTATAAAGACATTATACAAACATTATTACACTATAAAGATAAATTAAAACCAGTTCCGTTTTGTTGATATTTCCCTGAAGATAATCCTTTTGACTCCATATAAAGTTCAAGTTTACTCCTGCCAAAATAATGATTTTGAAAGAATATGCAAATATAGTGTCAGATACAAGTGAAACAAAATATTTCTAAAGAGCACCTAGCATTTAAATTTTATTTTCTATAGAGAAATAACATCAAAATACGTGAATAAACAATTTTCATTATCTCAGTAGTGTAGTTCTTTAGGACTATAGTTGAAGAAACCAATCGTTAGTTGATCATATTAATCCATGATTTTAATTAAAACTAAGGAAACCTTGGAACTTAATGAAATTGTAAATGGTGTTTTTTAAGATAACATGACATGAACACACTTTAATAATAATGACGAAAATTTTGAATAATACAAGAAGTGATACATCATTGAATGAAAATTCTTTCTTACCGGTCTATGGGTCTAAAAAAAGAAAAAAGAAAAAAGAAAAAAACCCTACTATCAATACTGTTGGATATGGTTCATACTTCGAATAGCCTTGAAAGATTATCGGCTTATATTGATGTGTTCGAGGGTCTCTATAATGAACTTTAACATTAGCAATACAAGAGTGAACTGTCGATATTTTAAGATTATTGTATTCTACAGATTTTGGAAACTCAAAAAAAAAACTTTGTTGAATATTGGACATAGTTCTTTTATTAGAACGAATCAAGGTAAATCGTTTGTCTTCTTTACTTTTCTGTTTCGTTATTGTATATGTTTTGACGTTATTTTTCAACAAACACCTCCTCCTAAGGCTCCTATAATGAACTTCAACGTTAGCAATGCAACCAAATAGATATATTATTTATGTACTCAAATATGACAACTAGATAGTATATTCAACTATATTTCAAATATAACTAAATTCTGGCTAAGAACCATTAATTTTATGTGAAAAACACAACCTCGATGAAGAATCTTTTATTTTTACTTGTAATGGTAAATTTTTTACTCCAATCAAGACACCTTTCCTGATTTTTTTCATTGTAACAAGGACCTTTTGCTTTTATCGTCCAAGAGCAAAACTCCTTAAATCTACTTTAATCTCTTTTATGTTCCCAAATATCAAACTGATGGGATTCTTTTTTCCAAGCGAAAATGCAGTGATGTATTGTGCCACCATATATATATATATAGTACACATTTCATTCATCCTAAGGTCTCGCTATAGTATTGGTTTAGAATCATTGACCAAGTTAGCTTAAAGCAAATGTTTTTATTGATGCTTGTAGTTAGTATCATGATTTTTGTTTTTAAATAA